TGTCTCTCTCGGCTAAACTGCTGAGGGTGGAATTTTGGGTCAAAGAATGTGCTTGTTTTGAAATGTAACAGATTTTGCCAAATTGCTAACAAAAGATATGCCCACTTTCATTGTCCCAAAGCCCATGTCCTTCTCACACTAGCTCAGCCACATTGCCCTGTGGACACTTCTCCAGGAGCTCAGAGTTGAAGACATCCTAACCTCAGCCTCCTGAGGATGCTGTGCAGTCCCCTTGTTGCTCATCCTGCCACCACCACCTCTAATCCAAACCACTCTCATGCTCATGTAAGGCCAAGGGCTTTCTCTACAGCATTTTATTTGAGCCTACCTTGGGTAGGAAGGAAAACTTTATCAGTATCATGCGGGATGGGAGGGCCAGAGAGGTCAAGCGACTGGCTCGTCTCCAGGTGGACAGGTATCAGAGGTGAGAAGCCAGTGCCCTGCCTTCTTGCTGAGTACCTTTCTCATTACACCACCAGTACCCAAAGATGGAGATGTAAGGCTGGGAAGGGCAGCATGAAGAAAGGATATCAGATAGGAATTGATGCCACTAACAGGTATTTAAAACACCTATGATGGGCCAGGAACTAGGGTACAGAGATGAACAAGACTCCCTCCCTGCCTCTAGGGAGCTTAGAGTATAGTTGGGGAGACAGGTTAATCTTTGGGTCATGTCAGTGGGAGGAATTTGGAGACACGCTGGAAGTGACCCTGGGGTGGCCCCTAATCATCACAGGGAGCTCAGGTTAAGGCTGAGAGGAGGCATAAGACAGGCTGAGCCCAGAAAGATAAGTGGGTTGGCCAGACTAAGGAAGGGCATTTCAGGAAAAATGAACAGTGCATGCCCCCAAAGATGGCAAAGCATGTGAGCCTGGGGCTTGCGAGCATCCCACATGGCTGGGTGAGGTGGACCTCTGTGGTTTGCCTGTCCCGCCTCTGTTCTGCACACAGTGCCTAGACTTTCCTTTGGGGAACCAGCTCATCCCACCTTCCTGGCTCCGGGGTGGGCATGTGACCGATCAGATTCAGACAGCAGCTGACCAATCAGAACACTGCTCCGGGATAGGCAAGGAGCCAGAAGGTCAGAGACTTGACTTGGGGACTTACTATAGGAATGAGGGGAAACAGAAACTCTTTCCACTGGGCTGCTGGGTATTTGCATGAGAGAAAGCTTGCCCGAGAGGGAAGCTACCCAGATGAAAGCAGAGCTGAGGGACTAAGGGAGATGGAGCCTGGATGAGATGGGTTAGTCTCTGGATCCAGCTGGACCTGGAGGATCTACCCTGGAATTTCAGTCGTGTGGGCCAATCAATTCTGACTTTTTTTGCTTAAGCCAGATTGACCAGGATATTGGTTATCTGTTACTAAGAGTCTAGACTAATGCAGTGGGGAGGAGGGTGGAGAGAAAGCAAGGAATGGTAAGCAGCTCATGGAGGTGGGTGCAGGCCAGGCTACAGGGTTAAAGAGTTATCTGACCACCAGAACTGGGAAGAGTGTAACTGCCAGGCAGGAGAACTCTCATAGTGTGACTGTGCCTTTTAGAAAGAAAAGCTGTTGACTAAGAAGAAAAGAGTCAATGACTCTTCTAGAAATTTCAGAGCCTTCGGAACATCTTTTTTACGGTTTTCCCATCAGGATAGATGGCCTGGTCTGAAATTGGAGCCAAATTATTAATCCATCAGCCCTGATGGCATGTATCAATTTATCTTAATTTCTGAAAATACACTCATGCTTTTCAGACCAGTCTCTCTTCTCTGTCACCAAGAAGAAAAGGGAGCCCAGCAGAGATTAATCAGAGGCAATTTGGCCCTTTGTAAATGCCCTGCTCTGGCTGAAACTGAACACCCAGCATTTCAGGCAGACAACTGGGCTCCCCTGTGCCCTCACCGCTGTGGGCAAGCCTGCCTGGGAGACAGTGTGCTGGCAAAGGGGCTGCTGCCAGCTCCACAGCCTGAGAGAGAAAGCCAAGGGAGAAGGGTCTCCCTCCCAGACCTGGGAGACTCCTCATTACACAGTCTCATTTCCTCTCCAGAGTGGAGGAGATAATTGGATCAAATGGAAACAGGAGCCAGCCTCCCTCCCCTTCCCGGATGAGAGACCTCATCACCCATTACTGAGTCTTTTGTAAATAAACTGTGCGGGGAGAATGCCATTTGTTCTGCCATGATTGCCTGATGACCATCATCAGATGGGTCTTTGAAAGACACAGAATGAGATCATCTTGGGTTTTAGAAATTCCTTTGTGCTCCTTTCTCTACCATCACCACTCTCCATGGACTTTCTGCAGGGGGACTTTCTGACCAGGGAGGCTGGTTCAGGCAATGACACACCTGCTCTGGGTAGTCAACCAACAGTTACTTATTAAGCACTTTCTTCCTGTCAGGCAATCCTTTTGGTTCTTGGGATACAACAAACAAAGATTATTATACTGTTGACGTTCATATTCTGGTGAGAACTCAGAACTCTGATGTGTCCATTTCTGGAAACAAACTTCATAAGTTAAGTTTGTTTAACTGGTAAACTGAGGAACTGTGAAGTTAAAACTCTTCTGATGCCTTATGTGTGGTTCTACTGTACCTGTAAGGATGTGGCATTTGGAAAACTAAATTGCAAGGGCTAGAGATTATAAATGACATACGTGCTATCACCCACCAAACCTGCACCCATGGCAGACATCACTAATCAATCACCACTCCTTTTCTGAATGCAGCCTCACAATACATATTCACACAATGAGGGGCAGCCTCTACTGATGCACCAGACTTGGTTGGGAGAGCAAAACTATTTTTGACTTAGACTGCTTACTAATTCAATTCACCGAGAGGCTGTAGAATCGCCTAGTAATTAACCCCAAGAGGGGGTTAACTGCCCCCAGGAGGAGGCAAAAACTGAGAAGGAAGTAAGAGATTGCAGAGAAACCTCTGAGGCTAGTTTTCCTCTCAAGCGCTCTCACGCCCCTGCAGAGGCCTGTACTACACAGCAGGTCAGAGTGCAGACCCTGCAGTCAGGCAGGCCGGGGTTCATGTCCTGCTTCTGTTAGTTCTAACTGTGTGGGACCTTGGTCTGAACTCCACTTGCCTCCCTGTGAAACGGGTATAATAATGATACCACCCTCCTAGGGCTGTTGTAAGGATTAAATAAGACAACACGTGTGAAGTGCTCTGCACAGGGTCCTGCCAGCGCTGATCCAGGCTGCACCTGAGTTGCTGCATACCAGAGTGGATGGATGCTTTTTGACAGCTGGCATCGCTCTGACTGGCTGGTGCCATCATGACTGCTAAATATTTTTAATGCTACCCCTGGATTTTAATATTAGTTTTATTTAAAGGGCTGGCTCCCTTATGGGAGATAACTTCAGAAATCTGAAGGTAAAATGGAAAAAGATGGTTTTTCAAACCAAAATAATGTTTCAGGAGAATTCTAGGTTGTTTTCTTGCTCAGTTCAGTTCAGTCACTCAGTTGTGTCCAACTCTTTGCAACCCCATGGACTGCAGCATGCCAGGCTTTCCTGCCCATGGCCAACTCCCACAGTTTACTCAAACTCATGTCCATTGAGTCGGTGATGCCATCCAACCATCTCATCCTCTGTCATCCCCTTCTCTTCCTGCCTTCAATCTTTCCCAGCATCAGAGTCTTTTCCAGTGAGTCAGCTCTTCACATCAGGTGGCCAGAGAATTAATGTCCCCCGTTCTGAACTGCTCAGCCAGTGGCAGTGACAATGACAATAATGAAAATAATTTTTCATTATTTATTATTTCATTATTTCAGGATATTTATTGAGAAGCACCTAATAAGAATGGTCTTATTTAATCCACTCAACAACCCTGTGAAGATTAGAGGGTCACTATACCCATTCTATGGAAGTAGAAACTGAGGTTCAGACAGATAAGGACTCTTTGTCCAAGATCACACAGCTGGTACAAAGCAGCAGAGCTACAACCTGACCTAGGCAATCTAACCCCAGCACCGAAGCCTTAACTGTTGTGTGTGTGACAATGGTCCTTTGCCTAGGAAGTAGATGCTAGACTCGGTGGACATCAGGGCTGTGCATTCACAGGACTCATCCCAGTAATGCTGCTGGCCATTCCTCATGGGCTGGGGATATATCTTACCAAGGGTTCCAGGGGTGTTAGAAGTAGGCCCTAGCCGACCACAGGGGCACAAGACAAGATAGTCTTCCCTACAGATGGACAAAGCCTTCATTCTTCACTTGAGATCAATACAAAAATCCAACAAAAAGGGGCAGAAGTTGGCCTCAGAAGTTTGTATAGTTAACTAGTAACCATTGTCTCCTTTACTACCATTATCAGAAGATTCTACAGCCCATGGATTGGTCTAATAGCTTACAGTAAATATTTATTCTCCAACTCTTTAATAATTTCTACCAGTTATTAATTGGTGGCTGTGTCCCCAGGTTGGGTGCTAACCATTTTCTAGATATTATCTCATTTAATCGTCACAAAACTTCTGTAAGGTAGGTAGTCTTATTATCCTCTTAGATGAGGAAAGAAAGCTCAGAGAGGTAATCTAACTTGCCCAAAGCCACACTGCTACTGAGTAGTGATGTTGGGATTGGAGCCCAGACTTTTCTGATGCCACAACTCGAGCTCTTAGCCCCTGGTTTCTGTATATCAAACTCCAGCAGGAACAGACACAAAGGGAAAACTTGAGACAGGTGGCCAGGAACCACTAAGGACAAGTCGGCCTCTGTGAGGGCCGGGGATCGTTCTCAGAGCAGAGCTTTCCACCAGCCTGTGTGTCCTGTTTGACTATCTGGCTCTCTCTTCCCCTCTGCTGGTGCGCTGGGCGTCTCAATGGGGACACGCCATCTCTTTAGTGGAAATGAGGCCTGTCCTATTCCAACACTATCATCTAAGAAGGGACGATGCAACATTGAGCAGATGGGCTGCAGAACCCGAGGCCTCCACAGTCTCCCCAGGCTCAGACACTGCTAGGTAGGCAACCTGCCAGGACAGGGGGTGTTCCAGCGGCTGGCTCACCTTGAATGAGATCTCGTACTGCTCCCCTCCCCAGATCTCCAAGCCTGGGTCATACCCGCCCAGCTCCCAGAACCACTTCCGATCCACGGCGAACAGTCCACCGGCCATCACGGGAGACCTGCGGGAAGAAGGAGGTGGTGTGAAGAGCGGACGTCCTGGCCGTGTGTATCCCGCTCTCGGATGCTGCTGTTTCCCCAGGGATGCCGTTTCCCACTGTTCCATCAACACAGCCCTCGTGTCCAGCAGGGAATCCAAATCCCTTCTGAGTGCAGCCCCTGGCTTTCTTCCTTCTTCATAAGTGCTATGTTTTAACCAGTGGACCCCAGATTCCTTCACATGGTTAACACCTAAGAATGCCTGTGGAATGGAATCATAGTGTTTTCCCTCTGTGGGCCTTGTTAGCTCCATCATATTTCTATATATCTCCATGTCTCTCTCTCTCTATCTCCAGTTCTCCCACTGGTTAAATGGTCTGGATTAGGTCTTTCTAAGCCTGTCTAGACTATAGAATGCCTTAGAGAGATGAAAACACATTCAGCTTCCTGGGTCTGACCCCAGACCTACACAACAATCTCTGGGGGATGGAGATTTTGGGGGATCTGGGGGATGTGTTTTTGGATGAGAAGATTTGATGATTCTTACTTTTCAAGCCCAGGCATAGGCATGTTTTTCTGCTGAGAGTTTACAGAAAGAGCCACAGTCCTTGTTCTTGCAGTGAAACTGGGATAAGATTCCTCCACTCATTCATTCACTCATTAGTTTATTCATTGAGTGCCAGCTGAGGAGCAGATGCTGGAAGAATCTGGAGGTAAACTGGGGTCAGACTGAATCTGCAGGGGATGTCAGTGTAGCAGGGTGGTCACCTCAGGATGGGAGGGTGCAGAAGCCAGGTAGGGTGTAACGAGGGTCTCTGGGAGGTGCAACCAGTGCTACGGGAAAGGAGGGCACCTCTGTCTCCATGTTTTGGGGGTGAGGAGAGAGGCTGGGGTAAGAGTCGAGGAAGAGTGCTCAGAGGGGAGGCATTTGAAGTGGGTACGGACAAAGTAGGAGCTGGGAGAGAGAAGGGAGGAAAAACCATGAGCCCAGGAACTGAGATGATCAATCATGGGGTGTGGCCTCCCCCAGTTCCCCTGGGAGGAGCCACCAGCATTTACTGCATGAAAACCTCTCTGAGTGGTTGTGCTCGTGTCTGGCTCCAACTTCAAACCCTCAAAAAAAAAAGAAAGAAAGAAAGAAAGAAAACTGGGTTTCCCAGGTGGCGCAGTGGTAAAGAATCTGCCCGCCAATGTAGGAGACATGGGTTCAATCCCTGGGTCAAGGAGATCCCTTGGAGAAGGAAATGGCAACCACTTCAGTATTCTTGTCTGGGAAATCCCACAGACTGAGGAGCCTGGCAGGCTATAGTCCATGGGCTCACAAAGAGTCAGACATGACTGAGCGACCTGGCATGCACACACATAAAGAAAAACCATTGCAGAAGCAGCCTCCACAACCCTCTGGCCTTGGGAACTGCATGCTCAGGGAAGTGGACTGATTAGGAAAGCACCGAAGTGCCCCATGCGCCTCGCCAGGCTTCCTGCAGTGGACAGGCCTGGATAGCACAGGAAGGGACCCTCAGAAGGGATTCCCTGGATCCCAGACCTAGAGCTCGGATCTGCCCACTGCTGCACTGAACTAATTTATTACTAAAATGAATTTATTCCTCACATTGACCTCATGAGGCCCTGTTATCATTGCCCCATTTTATGCACGCAGAAACCAGAGTACTGACAGGTGACGTGCTCAAGGCTTTGAAGCTACAAAGCAGCACCTCTGGGATTTGAGTTTCCAATCTATGCTACAGCCACACCCCATGTGGCTACAATACACTACTTCCTCTTGGGAAGGAACAATCCAGAAATAGGTGATGAGTGAACAGGACTTGGGATCAGAAACAAGGAAACCCTCACTCCAACTTCAGCTCTCCTTAACCGGCAGTGGGACCTGGGACAGACAGTGTAACCCCAGAATCCTCTGCTGCCCAGTATGGGGGCCACATGTGGCTACTGACATTTGATGTGTGGCTGGTCTGAACTGGGAGGTGCTGGCGGTGTGAGATACACACTGGAGTTCCCAGACTTAATATGAAGAAAAAGGAAAGATCTCATTAATAATTTCAAAGTGTGGGCTACATGTTAAAATGAGAACATTTAAAACATTTAAACATTAAACATACTGGGTTAAATAAAATGCACTACTAAAATGAATTTTGTCTGCTTCTCCTTTCCTTTTATTTATTTATTTATTTATTTATTTATTTATTTCATTTATTTTTATTAGTTGGGTTTTAAATGTGGCTCTGAGGACACCGAGAGGCACACGTGAGTTGCATTACATTTCTACAGGGCAGCACTGACTTAACCTGTTCTCTGAGCCCTCTTCCCCATCTACACGAGGATGTACAGCTACTCTCCCTAGCTCACACTGATGCTCCGTGTAGAAAGTATTCAGTCCCATAGGAAAGTAAGGTGTTATTAGTGTCAGCTTTCCTCTGTCTTATGAAGGTTGTGGGGTTTGGGTTTTTCTGGCTGGGGCCATAATGCCTGGAGGGGCAGAGAGTGGTTCTGACTCAGTGCTTCATGGAAAATCAAACCTAAAACGGCACAAAAATATCAGTTTGGGTGGATGCCAGCAGCAGGGGCCGTGGAAAAGGCAGGATATTAGCTGTGAGGCATTTTGGATGCTCGAGGGTTCCGCCTCCAGAGGGAGGCCTCTTCTCCAGCCTGGTCTGTTTTCTGCCGTGTTTAACAGTAATAATTACAACAGTCCTGAGCGTCCAGTGGGTGCCACTCACCTCACCAACGCTATCTCCAGCTCTCACAAAACCCTATTACTAGCCCTCTCTTCACAAGGAGAAATCTGAAATTCAGAAATGCCCTATGCTCTGCTCAAGGGCATGTAGTTTCTAAGTGGATGAGCTGCCACCGAAGTCGGTGTCTTTCAAATATCATGACATGGCACTGTGCCTGTGGCATGCCCACTTGCTGGGCACCGTAGGGAAGAGTGCAGAAAATGACCAGGATTTCTTTGTGGCAGGTTTTGTCCTAGTGCAAGACAGAAGAGAGACTTATGGAAGGAATCGGAGGGCACAAAGGATGGAGTGTCCCTTGGGAAGCATCTGGGCCAGTGGTGCTCAACTCTGTCCACATGTCAGTATCACCCAGTAGCGGATGGCTGGGTCCCCACGCAGAGACTCCAGTGTTACTGGACTGAGGGACAGCTCAGGTGGTGGTGGTTCTTCTTCTCCTTTTTCTTCTTTCTCGTCTTCTTCTTCCTCCTCACACTTCTTTCTCCTCCTCCTCCTTTTTATAAATTGGATTTTTTAAAGATTTATTTTATTTTTGCCTTCAATGTTTCCCAGCATCCAGGTGTTCTCTAGAGCAGCCTCTGGGAGATGGAAAGGGCGTGGGAATGGGTCCCTTCCTGGAGCATCTCAAGGAAACGTGGCACAGTCGATGCTGTGATTTAGTCCAGTAGGACCCTTTCAGACTTCTGACCACCAGAACTTGAAGAGAATGAATCTGTGCTGTTTTGATAAAACAGTAAGCTGTGGTATGTTATTATTGCAGTGATAATTAGGAAACATATCAGGAAACTAACCCAGCAGGAAAGGCTGGACTTCGGCTTCACGCCCAGAGACTGTCCCACACCTCTGGAAGGAGAGCTGGAGGGGCTCATGTGACAGCTGGGATGGTGAGCTGACTGATTCCCTCAGTCAGAAAGACCCTTCCGGAGCTCGGGGGACCAGAGAGGGACTGGGCTGTGTTTCAGGCTTAGCTGCTAGCCCACACTGTGCTCAGGGAAGCCCTTCCCTGCCCTGGGGTCCAAGTCTCCTCTTCTGCAAGGGCTTGGAGCCCATGACCCGTTGGTTCCCTCCAGTGTTCACATTCTAGGATGTGATGGGTCCAGTCCCGTGCTCCCAGTCTTCCACTGGGGGACAAACTGTTACTTCCCTGATACTTCCAAGAGGCTGTAACTGATGGATGGGAAAGTTGGCTCCAGCGGTATTAAGCCTTTGCCCCTTCACAGCTGTGGGACCTGGACAGGCTCCTCCTGGAGCCCTGGTGTCCCCACATGGAAAACACGGTGGCTTGCCACCCCCACTGCCAGTCTTGGGGTAGGCAAAGAAGTGACCAGCTTGGTGGTCCATGAGCCAAAGCTCTGTGACAAGCTGGGAGGGATTGTGCTTCGGGTTGGGGAGGTCTACTCCACCCCCCCTACACTAGACTTTTGGGAGAGGTGGCGATCCTGAGTTCTGTGTGCATTAGGAGGGGTCCCTGGGGTCAGCCACTGGGACTGACCTGGGTAACTCATACTTACTCAAATGGGTCGCTGGGGTCAGCTTTCTGCAGTTCTGGAGGGATGGGGATCCGCTTATAGTACATCTCCCAGTCAAAGGCACCCCGCATGGCATCCCCCGCCTGCGTCTCGTACCGGAAGTCATCGTGGTCAATCACATCGATCATTGGGCACACGATGGTCTTGCGGTTCCGAGCGATGCGGTCTGAAGAAGCCAAGAGATGCCCGTTAGGGAGGCTGGATGGGAAAGCGGCTACGTGCATGATCCTGCTCTGCGACTTATTCACATTTCTAACATGCTTCCTGGGTGATTTCTCTGAATACTTGAGCTTGAGACTCCATGAGGAAGAAAGAGTGCAAACTTTAGGTAAGATGGACCAGGGCTCCCAGCCCATCCTGCCATCCACGATGGGCTCCTGGGTCGGCAACATAAATAGCACTCCGAGTGTCAGTGTGCTCCTCTGTGAATGGTCGCAGGAGTACTGCAGAGAGTAACGTTTGAGGATGTTTAGCACAGGTGCCCATCATGCTCAGCACTGTTATGAAAACAGATTAATTTCTTTCTGGGAAGGACCCTGTTCTGGCCCTGCCAGGCTCCCCATTCTGAGTCCTAACTTGACTTGTGGCCCAGCATCGAGGCACCCTAGCACTTACCCCTCATGGCAGACTGCCTGACCCTCCTGGCTGCCGTCAGAAAACAAACGGTCCTTTCGAGAGAGGCCAGTTCACCTCTTCCAACAGTCAGAACTACTGACGAGTGAGAGAACTATCCCAGGAGCTCCTCAGGGCAAGCAGGGCCTGGTGGACCTCGGCCATGCAGGAATTCTGCCTGCAAGGTGATCCAAGGTGGCAAATGGGGGTCTTAACCTCAAAATGGCTCTATGTCCCTGTCAAGCCAGACAAACGCAGACTCTATAAAATTCACTGTCTGCCCTTCAGCGTGCCTTCTGCCAAGAAGCCCTGACTACAGCCAGTGACTGGGGCAGACAATCTGCTATGAGGGGCAAGTGGGCTATGCTGGGGTGCCTTGCTGCTTAGGCCAGGGATCAAGTTCAAGGCTTGAAATGGGGAGTCTGGTAGGGCCAGGGTAGGCTGGCAACTGCCCAGGGCCCAGGCTTCATTCATTGAGTTATAGAGTAGATTTTTCTTCCAGGAGAGAAAGTGGAAGTTTTGTCTTTTTCTAAACTGCAATACACAATCCATAGGTGGGTCATGAAATTGTATGTGTGTGTATTTGTAATGAAGAAGAAAGAACAGTGAATCACAGTGAATGCACAGTGAATCAGGGTGCATTCTAGGTGATGAGGGAAAGCACTGTTTTGGAAATATTTCAGTCATACTGCATCAGTGTGTGCATTTGTGTAATGGACTGACATATCCCCAGTGTATTTATAACTGTGGTACACGGTCATAAAAGTTTGAAAAATGGTGCTTTTGACACTGTGTCCCCAAGAACAGATCTGGAACCAACAGTGTCAGAAGCACGCAGGGTGTGTTCAAGTGTTCTTCCCCAACCCCCAGGGCTGGGCTGCCCCAGGCCCACTGAATCAGGATCTCCTGGGGTGGAGCTTGGATCTGCCCTGTGGAAGGCTCCCTAGGAATTTTTAAGGAAACTGAAGAATCTTCCTGGGGAAAGATCTAGAGAAGGGCCCTTTCTCCCTAATGGGGCTTCCCTGATAGCTCAGTTGGTAAAGAATCCACTTGCAATGCAGGAGACCCCGGTTCAATCCCTGGGTCTGGAAGATCCGCTGGAGAAGGGATAGGCTACCCACTCCAGTATTCTTGGGCTTTCCTTGTGGCTCAGCTGGTTAAGGATCTGCCTTCAATGCAGGAGACCCTGGTTCAATTCCTGGGTTGGGAAGATCCCCTGGAGAAGGGAAAGGCTATCCCCTCTAGTATTCTGGCCGGCAGAATTCCATGGACTGCATAGCCCATGGGGTCACAAAGAGTTGGACACGACTGAGTGACTTTCACTTCCCTTCCTAATTCTTCAAGGCTATGTGAGGGACCTCCCTTCCAGGGAGGGTGTGGGTTGAGGACACAAGGCTCTGCTGGATGCCGGCTCATTGTGGGAGGTGTGAGGTCAAGGTGGTGGCATCAGACAGGTGGCATTCCATGGTGCCATCCTCACCTGGAGATACGGTACCCAGGTTCAAACCCTGGTTTTGCCACCTATGAACAGTATAACCTTGGGAAATGTTATCTGGTGCCTCTGAACCCCGGTTTCCTGGCTGACAGAACGGAGGAAGACAGCAACTACTACATGGGGTCTCTGTGAAGACCAAGCAGGATGATGGCCAAGAGGCTTAGCCCAGCAGGTGACCCCCTCTCTGCCGACATCCTCTGTGCCCAGGATTGTTGACAGCAGCTCAGAAGCAGGAGCCTCATCCTCTCTGCCCTTCAGTTTTCTTATTTGCTCTATGTGGATAATAATGCCTGGCCTGTCTCCTTTACCATATAACTGTCACCTTCAAAAACAGCTGTGGCCTAAAAAGATAAGGGACTTACAGAAGCATGATGCTGATGATGATAGAAATGAAGAAAATGATGATCAAGAGTGGCTTTCCTTTGGGGAAGAGAGGGCTAAATCCTTCTCAGGCTCAGAAATGCCTACTCTCCAAAGAAGGCAGAGTGAATTGTGCATGCTTATGGCTTCGGACACAAAAGCCAGGGTGGGCTATATCAGCTGTTCATATTAGCAGGGACAGACTTTTACATCTACACCACTGGTTCACATTTCTATTGGAAAAAGGAAAAAAAAGAGGAAGAATATTTCTTCCATGTATGCCTGTAGGTTATGAAAATTACCCTCATATATTTCCATAGAAACAGAGTTAAGGCTATTTGGACCACAAGCTCAGCATCGTGCCTAACACTTCATTCTCTTTATGAGTCACTGAATGACCCACCAAATGGGATGTTCCTTCACGACTATAAATTAGGGTATTTAGAATGAGGCTTTTTTTTTTTTCTTTTTTGTTCTCTTTCAGTCATGAGAGGCAAATCTAGACCTCTTGGTTTAATGAAATAGTTTACCAGAAAAATCTGGGTTATATTCTAACCCAGTGGGAACCTGGACCCTTGGGGCCAGAAGCAAATAATCTCATACTAAAGTTTCATGATTATCTGTGTTAGGAAACAAATATGCTGGGTTATTCCATTAATCTGTGTAGGGTTTGCCTTCTGTCCTCACTTCTGAATGGGGGCCTAACTAGTGCTCCCTGAAGTGTAGTCCCCGGACCAGCAGCACTGGCATCACCCAGGGGTTGTCAGGAATGCAGCTTCTCAGGCCCCACCCCGACCTCCCGAACCAACAACTCTGGAGCCAGGCCCAGCACTCTGTCTTTTACCAAATATTCTAGGTGATTCTGATACATGCTCAAGCTTGTCCTCATCTTGAGTCCTTTTGCTCTCGATGCTTTCTCTTATGGAGAGCATATCCCTCCATTTTTTTTTCTTTTCCCTTTTTTAATTGGAAGATAATTACTTTACAATACAGTGCTGGCTCCTGCCATACATCAACATGAATCAGCCATAGTTATACACACGTCCGCTCCCCTTGAACCTCCCTTCCATCTCCCACCTCATTCCTCCTGTCTAGGCTGTCACAGAGCACTGGGCTGAGCTCCCCGCAGCATACAGTAAATCCCCACTAGCCATCTATTTTACATATGGTAGAGTATGTGTTTCAATGCTACTCTCTCAATTCGCCCCACTCTCCTTCCCCCACTGTGTCCACAAGTCTGTTCTCTGTGTCTGCATCTCTACTGCTGCCCTGCAAATTAATTTTATTTATTTATTTGGCTGCACCTGGTTTTAGTTGCTGCATGTAGGACTTGGCATGCAGGATCTTTTATTTTCAGCATGTGGGATTTAGTTCCCTGACTTGGGCAGGGATTGGGCCCAGGTCCCTTGCATTGGGAGTGTAGAGGCCTTAGCCACAGGACCACCAGGGAAGTCCCATACTCATCTATTTTTGAGGCTTTCACTTTTCTCTCTGGACTGACAGATCTTCCCCAATCTGCCTCCATCCCTGTTCCTCACCTGGCCACCAGCCCCACTAGGGGATTTCCTCTTCAGCATCTACCTGTTGGCAGCAGCTCACTGCCTTCCTCAAAGCTCAGTACCTCTGGATTCAGACCTTGTTATTCAACCAGCCATGAGGCACCTCACTGCCTGGCAGCCTGGCTTCAGGTCTCCCTCCTGTTCAGGTTGTGTGGACTCCTGGATCACACTGCCCTCTGTCTGGAGCCCTTCCCTGACAGCTGTCAGAAATTCCCCGAGGAGCAAATGAACTTAGGCAGACAGTGTGGAATCCTGAAAGAGGATATACTTTGGAGTCAGACAGATTGGGACTTTGACACTTTTTGCCCAAGGGAACTAGCGAGTCACTCATTATCTCAGAACTTCAGTCTCTTCTAATATAAAAAGGGGACACTTTCAGCCTGGTGTGGTTTTGTGAGGACTGGAGATAAAGCTTACAACTTTCTTGGCTCACAGTAGCAACGCAATGAACAACCACTGTTCTGAGTTGATTTGATGATGTCCCTTACATCATCAAATCAAGATGCCTACTGCTAAGATTTAGCTCTTTGCAGTAGGCAGTCTTGGCTTGCTTTCCACTGACACGTGAAGTGACCTGGGAGAAGCAGTCATATCACTAATACTAACGTGCTTTATGACTCTGGGCAAGTCACTTCCCCTCTCAAAGTCCCAGCTTCCTCCTCTGCAAAATGAAGGGGCAGGACTGCATGGATTCGTAAGGCCACTTTGAGCACCCCTGAAGATCTGACACCCTCGTGGCACCTGGCACAATGCTGGGTGCATCTCAGGCAGGCAAGGGAAGCCCTGTAGGTGACTCCCTGCAGAAGCTGGGGCCAGTGGCCATTGGTGCACTCCAGGCCGCCTGCTTCACCTTGCAAGCCTCCCTTACCGAGCAAGGGGGGGAGCCAGTTGACATTGGCTTCACAGTGTGAGTCCAAGAATGTGATGACATCCCCAGTTGCAGCTGAGGCTCCCAGCATCCGGGTCCTGATCAGTCCTTCCCGTTTCTTGGTTCGGAGAATCCTCACGCTGGGGAAAAGGGCCATGTAGTCTTCGAGTGGCTTCTTCAGGTGTTCTGGAAGACAGAGAGAGGAGAACAGATGGACAGGTGGGTAAGAACAGCTGCTGAGTAATCATTCTTGTGACCCCTTCTTTACGTGTGCTCTGCACTTTACAGTTTAGACAGATTTCTGGTACACTGTCTTATTGGGTCTCTCAGATGGGGCCAATAAGGGCAGGAAGCACCACCTGTGTACTGCAAAGGGGGAAACTGAAGTTTAAAGAGGGCCAGTGTTAGTGCCAGACCTGCAACACAGAATTTCTGTATGACAGAGTTGGCAGCTGTGATTTACGTTTGGCTTGGACGCATTCTCTCATTTTTCTGGCAACAATACTTTGATTCTTTTTTGGGGGAAACTACCTCTTCCCTCCCATTCTCAGTCCTCCAGACTTGGGTGGGTTTGACCTCATTTCCTGGTTCCCAAGGGGAGGAGCATGTGGCTTGGGCCTGGCCAATCAGGGCATTCCATTCCCTTGGCCACAGTGATTGGTTCAGGGATGGACATGTGACCTGAGTTGGTCCAAACAATGAATCCTGAGACTTTTTTTTCTCAGAACTATTGAACAATGAGGCCCGTTTTTCTTACTAGAGTTACTAGGTTGGTTGGCTCTAAGTCTGGAGCTGCTCCTGACATCTTTAGCAAAATGAGGTGATGAGAGATGCTGGGAGGATCTGCTGAAACTGAAGTCAACAAGTAGAAAGAGTGAAGAGATGAAGAGGGACATTATCCCGATGACATTTTGATTCTCCAGATCGCCCTGTGCCTGAAGCAGATAGACTCCTAGTTGTTCTTATTACATATGACAACCAATTCCTCTTTTTCCTTATTCTAATGTTAGGCTGGCTTCTGGCCCATGCCTGGAAAAGCTGTTATAAATAAATCTCAAAGACATTCTCTTTCTACTAAAAATGCCAGCCTTAACATTAGTGTCTCTTGATTTTAATCAGGGTTAGGCCCCTTTATGAAAACTAGTATGGCTGCAAAAAACCTATAGTTTATATCATATTTAATGGTGAAGTATTGAATGCTTTGCTCCTGTGATCAGGAGAAAGGCTTTCCACTTTCTTTTTACTTCAGCACTATTCTAGAATTCCTAGTCAGTGCAATTGGTAAGACAAAGAAAAGGCATAAAGATTGGAAAGACTGTAAATTAAATGATTGCTTACACAGAAAATCTTAAGAAATCTACAAAAAACTAGAATAGGTAAACTTAGATTTCAGGATACAGATCAGCATTTAAAAATCAACTGTATTTCTACAGGCTAGCAAATAAGAAAGCAATTTGAAAATGCAATTAAAATGGTAAAAATACCACTTACAATTTAACAAAGTAAGTACAAACTGTATACTCTGAAAACTACAAAACACTGTTGAAAGAAATGAACAATCAAAATAAGCGGAGAGATAGTCAATGTTCATGGATCAGATGACCTAATGTTGTGAAGATCACAACCTCCTACGTTGATCTACAAATTCAATGTGATCAAAAATCACAGCTGGCTTCTTTGCAGAAACTGACAACTGACAAGTTGATCCAAAAATTTTATGGGAATGCAAGGGATCAAGGAATCCGGCACAGCTAAAAATCTCTTGATTACTTGAACATTCACAGCAACATTGTTCACAACAGTCAAATGGTGACAATAACCCAAATTTACATCATTTCACAGATAGATAAACAAAGATGGAATATATCCATACAACAAGAAATGAAGTGCTGATACATGCCACAACGTGCATGAACCTAGAAATCATTATATTAAGTAAAGGAGGCCAGACATAAAAGATCACATATTATAGCATTCCACTTGTATGAAATTCCAAATTAGGTAAATCCAGACCTGGAAAGCAGATCAGTGATTACAGTGAACTGGAGCAGAGGGGAAGGAGGAGTGACTACTTAATAAGTAGGGGGGTTTCCTTTGGTGGTGACAAAAAATTTTGAAACTAGATAAAGGTGATGGTTGTGCAACATTATGAATATGCTAAATGCCAAAGAATCATGTACTTTAACATGAGTATTATATATTTACCATGGTTAACCTTATGTTATGTGGATTTTACCTCAATTTTTAAAAATGGGCAAAGGATATGAATAGGCACTTCTTGAAAAAAGATACAGGAATGGCCAAACACATGAAAAGATGCTCAACATCATTAGTCATCAGGGAAATATAAATCAAAATCTTAATGAGATACTTCATATCCACTAGGATGCCTATGATGAAAAAGTAAGATAATAAGTGTTGACAAGGGTGTAGAGAAATAAGAATTCTCATATACTGTCGATGGGACTGTAATAAAATGGTGCAGCCACTTTGGAAAACAGTCTGGCAGTTCCTCAAACAATTGAACACAGTTACCATATAATCCAGCAATTTTACTTCTAGGTTGAATTATTTCTAAGAGAAATGAAAATGTATGTTGGACATCCTGCTCTCTGATGGTTAAGAATCTGACTGCCAATGCAGGGAACATGGGTTTGATCCCTGGTCTAGGAAGATTTCATAAGCCAGGGAGTAACTAAGCCCATGTGCCACAACTACAGAAGCCTGTGTGCCCTAGAGCCCATGCTCCGCTACCAGAGAAGCCACCGCAATGAGAGGCTCATGCACTGCAACTAGAGTAGATCCTGCTCACCACATCTAGAGAAAGCCCACGTGCAGCAACAAAGACCTAGTGCAGCCAAAAGTAAATAAATAAGTAAAATTTAAAAAAAGAACCAAAACATATATATCCACATGGAAAGTTGTACACTAATGTTCATAGCAGCAATATTCATAATATCCCCAAAGTGAAAATCAAATCATCCAAATACACATCAACTGAAGAACAGATAAATCAAATGCAGTATATCCAATCAGGGAAAATACTATTCAGCAATAAAAGAGAATGAGCTATGGAAATAATATGAAGGAGCCTTAAAAAAGAGTATGCTGGATTAAGAAAGTCAGACAATCCTGCTCTGAATTCACTCCACCAGGGCTTAGAGCTGGACAGGTGCCCCTGATTTAGGGCATGTGGCCAGATCATCTGTGAGCTGACTGTAAATACAGTTGCTTGGATCCTCCCTATGATCTGGGAGACTGAAGGCAGCATCAGGGTCTTTGGTTTTACTTGACCCACAGATAATTCTGATGCATAGACAGCCTAGAGAGCACTGGAGTAGTTCAGTCTCTTCATTTTATAGACAGAAATTAAGTCCAGAGAAGGGAAGGTGCCATAGTTAACAGTAGAGCCAGGGCCCCTTGACTGCTTGATCCAAAACCATCTGAGCCTTTGATTTTTCTAAACCCTGTATAAAAATGAACAGTTTTCACTGGGAAGGCAGATTATGATTTGCGAAGAAGCTTCACATATTTTATCTCCCTTGATTCATAAACTCGTACTCTCCATCACAGGTCTCCCCATATGACAGATGAGAAAACTGATGCTCGGAGAAGCTTAGAAACTTGCTTGAGGTCGTACAGCCAGGAAACTGCTGGGTTCGCTGTAGAAACAGGAGGCTTTCCGCCTCTCTAGCTGTGTTTTCCCAATCTCTCATCATCATATTACCAGCATGATTTTTGCCACTTCACCTACCTTAACAACAACTCCTTAAGATTTTCTTTTTTAAATCAACTCACTTTTTTTCAAGCTAATAATTTTATTTAATTAACTTTATTTTGAAAGGAAACATTAAACACTATAAGTGGAAAATCGGTACCATTTGTGATAAAGAGTTAATGAATTAAAAAAGCCAAACTAATAAGGATAAAGTGATGTTACTAGATTTCAGCCAGATCTCGCTTCCCTCTTTGTAAAGAAGGGAGATAAGGGTAGCCAGCCGAGACCTTCCATCGGAGGTAATCAGAGGAAATGAAAGAGAGATCTGAAAAGAGAAAATGCACTCTCCCCATGAGTCAATGTTACTTAATGTGAAGTCTCAGAGCCACCTGAGATCATCTTAGGTACCACTTAAAATCACTTTAGTGCTGGTGCACTTGGGGAAACACTGCTCCAGACGCTTGATTTAAGTCTTCAGAAACTTTAAGGACTAGAGATGAGGTATGTTTTGTGTTGTGTTGTCTGGCACCCTGCAAGTCGGAGCAATTAAAAGATATACAGAGGAAAGATTAACTCCAGATACAACCCAAGGCGGCAAGGCTGAAAAACACTCCAGGTCGCCTCTCGCTTGCTCACAAAGATTAATATGGCTCCTCCTGCCCTTTCCCACTTCTCTTTGGAACAGTGGCTCTGTAGAGAGCAGAAATCAATTCGCCCTAATTGAGGGACTAAATCTTTCCAAAAGAGACTTTCTTGGGAAGCGAGACACGATAGCAAGAGGCACGATCACACTCCAGATAGGTTGCTGTTAGGGCAGGAACACTACCTTAAAAAAAAAAAAAATCCATAGTCATTGTCTTGTGACCAGCGCTTCTTGGCTAGGTTCAACTGGTCGGTCATTAACATGAGGATGAGCTAATCTCCTATACCACACACCACTACTCCCATCAGAGGGAGATATATAGCCCCGTCCGGCTCTAATCATGAGGGCCCCGCTCCGGCAGAGACCCACCGCTAAATCACCCCGCACGCAGATGGCCGCAGTCATTACAGATGGACCAATTAAGGCCTTCTGACAGCTGTGGCAAAGTCGGTGCAATTATTTAGGGGCAATTATGTTCCTCCTGTCCTTATTAGAAAGAACATTTACACAAAATCAGGACTGTTGCCTTATTTTACCATGCGGTCTTCTTGGATGAGGACATCTCATAAAGTCAGAATTTTCAAGCTGGAAGGGACTTTAGATGAAGATGATGATAGTTATGATGATAACAATTATAGGGAACAATTACTGAGGCTCTGCTCACACATGGAGCTCTCTGCCTACATAATCTCTGTTGCTTACCACACCACTACAAATGGGGGTACTATGGTCCTGTCCTGTATGAAAAGACATGGTGAGGCTCCGAATGGGTGGTGTGACCTAGCCAAAGGACTCAGTTTATGAATGATGAAGCCAAGGTCTAAAACC